GGCTTAGATTCATAGACTCCGTACAGTTTCTGTTATCTTCCCTGGACAATTTAGCTAATGCGAACAATACTGATGACTTTGCGATAACAAATCAATATACCGATAAGATAACTCGTCATTTGTTACTGAGAAAAGGTGTATATCCTTACGAATATATGGATGATTGGTCTAGATTCAAAGAAACTGAATTACCACCCCTTGAATCATTCTATAGTAACTTAACAGAATCTAAAATAACAGATGCCGATTATGAACACGCTCTGACGGTCTGGCATAAATTAGGTTGTAAGAATTTAGGCGATTATCACGATCTGTACTTAAAAAACGATGTACTGTTACTCGCCGATATATTCGAGATATTTAGAAAGACATGTTTAAAACAATACGGCTTGGACCCGGCATGGTACTATTCCAGTCCCGGACTATCGTGGGATGCATTGTTGAAGAAGACCGGCGTAGAACTAAAACTACTCACCGATTACGATATGCACTTGTTTATTGAGAAAGGATTAAGAGGTGGTATATCGATGGCGGCGAAAAGGTATTCTAAGGCTAATAATAAATTAGTGGAAGGATACGATCCGAGTAAACCCGACACGCACATATTATATCTCGACGCCAACAATTTGTACGGATGGGCTATGAGTCAACCTTTACCCACGGGTGGTTTTGAGTGGGTCGATGATATCGAAGTGAATGATATCCATAATATCAATGTGAATGATGTGAATAAAGGGTACATACTAGAAGTTGACTTGGAATATCCAAGTTCGTTACATATAGACCATAACAGTTATCCGCTAGCTCCCGAAAGATTAATGGTTAATAAAGATTGGATGTCGGAATATCAACGCTCCTTGATGGGTAATAGTAGGTTAGCTAACGTAGAAAAACTTGTACCAAATTTGATGGATAACAAAAAATATAGTTCACTACAGAAATCTCCAGTTGTATCTATCGTTAGGTATGAAACTTAAGAAAATACACAGAGTTCTAAAGTTCGATCAAAGCCCTTGGATGGAGCCCTATATAAGGTTGAACACAGATTTAAGAAAGATAGCTACCAGCGATTTCGAAAAGAATCTGTATAAGCTCATGAATAACTCAGTATTTGGTAAAACTATGGAGAATCTAAGGAAGCATGTTGATGTTAAATTAGTCAGATCTAATGAGGAAGAAAGACTCAGGAAACTTATAGCTAGTCCGGCTTTTAACAGAAGCAAGATATTCGATGACGACTTAGCAGCGTTGCATATGCAGAAGAGTAATATAAAATTCAACAGACGGGTGTACGTCGGTATGAGTATTCTCGACTTGTCAAAACACTTAATGTATGACTTTTATTACAACGAACTTAAGAAGCAATACGGCGATAGATGCGAGGTGTTATATACCGACACAGATTCTTTGTTGATGGAAATACAAACCGAGGATGTGTATAAAGATATGGCAGTAAAAATAGATATGTATGTTACCCAAAAGATAATCCACTGCACAGCGTAGTAAATAAAAAGGTGTTAGGTAAGATGAAGGATGAATGTGCTGGGACCCCTATAGCTGAGTATGTCGGATTAAGACCTAAGATGTATTCTATAAAGAAGTCTGATAATGGGGAGATAAGAAAAGCTAAGGGCGTTAAGAAGTATGTTGTAAAAAAGCATATCAAACACGAACAGTATAAAGAATAATTTTTCAACGATAGAACGTTCAAACACGAGATGAACTCTTTAAGAAGTTACAATCATAGGAAATATGGATTAAGAATGAACAAGACATCATTATCCCCCTTAGATACAAAGAGATGGATTGATAAGGATGGTGCAACTACCTATGCTTAAGGTTATGGTGGTAATACCGTACCGTCGGGAACTATGAACAACTCTTCTCGTACAAATGCCCTACCCAGTCCATCTTGAAGATAATAAAGAATAGGCTCTGCTTCTTTCATAAACCAATCTACTAATGTTATATGTCTTAAGAGACCAAATCGGATCGGTTGTGCGACGTAGGCCTCCTTCGAGTTCACCGGGCTGGTATAAATATCTTACCCTTACTCTATCCGGAAGTTTTCGTTCTTTGCCTCTCCTCAGTGCTGAAGATTCGGAAGTCACGGATTTCATTTTAATCGCATCGGATGGTTTCTTCCCTATTAATCTCGTTACTTCATTATTCAGCGCTGATACAACAGCTGATAATCGTGTCACCCATTCGGTTGATCTCAATCACTCGGATTTCATTTCAATCCCATACTGATAGCCAAACAAATGTTCCGCTAATGTCCTGTTAAATCTTTCGACGATAGCTTAACTGCGGTGGGCCTCTCTTTCACCACGCCTGATTTCGACATCGTGCTTTGTTAACAGTTTAGTTATTGATCCCATAAACTCGCGACCAGGATCTACTAGAAATAGCTTAGGCCATTTTAGCGGTCCGCGTTTATATATGCGGCTCAGTGCATTAGCTACTTCTGTTGAATATTTCAAGGTTAATGGCTCAGCCTCTTTGTATCGACTAGCCACATCCACTACTGTTAAAGCGTATTTATCAATTTTGCGTTTTACCTTATCGTGGGGAAGAAACAAGAGGTCAGCCTGATGAACTTCATTCGTTGTAAAAATATCAAACTTCTTCCTCGGCATATATATATATATATATATATACACACAATACACTGACATACGTCGCTTTTTACAGTATTAAAGGGGCACTGATCTAACGCAATTCCCCGGGACTGGTTGTTGCCTTTGTTATTGTTTTTTCCCAGTGAGTACCTGGATGTATAGCAGAAATCTAGACTAGTTCAGGACCTCTGCTGCGCCATTCGTAAGCGCATTAGTCAATTTTATGGATACCGGAAGTAATTATATTAGGGCGTATGGTCACATTGATCAACAAAATGAAATACAGTTTTCGAGATAATAAGGAAATGAAGGTATCTTTGTGGGTAGCATCGGTAATGGTGACGAAGTTTTGATAAGTCACTTGCTTGGGTAATTTTGCGATTTTCGTTTACACTATTTTGACTTGCAACATAAAGTAAATATTTCACCTGAGCATTGCTTTTTTATAGTGTGTATATTATTTTACTATCAAAATGTGTAACATATTTATTAAACGTCTAAATATTCAGTTATTTTACAAATTGACTGAAAAACATTTCCATCTCTATTATTATGATAACGAATTCCAAACATTTTGATGTTTAATGTCATCACCAAGAGACTGAAAATGTTACGTTGAAAAGTACATTTCTATGTTGTTTGGCTTCTAATCCTACATAATAATCTGTTGTGATGTTTGATAGTCTTAATCAATATGGACAGAATTTTTAGACAAAATGACTGAAATATTTACACATTTTATAAATTGACGGTAATATATACACGCTTACAAAAGAAAAGACCTGTGAAAACAACGTCTATCGCGCATTGAAGAATTTCCTAACCAAGACGTAGAGAAACAAGAACGAATTATCGGTTGAAATGAAAGAAAACAAAATGCAAATACCATAATTACAACCCACCAAATTTATGTGTATAAATTTTAGGCAGCTTCCTTGTTCGAGGAATGTATCCGTGAATATCCACACAAAGGAACAATATCCCACTCGTCTGCAGCTGTACAAAGCAACTTATTCGATGTCAAGTGCCTCTGTAACAATCAAATATTTTAAAAGATATATATCGTTTAGGGATATTATAACCCGTGTTCGTTTCACAACTGATCTCATGGATTGTTTAAGGGGTTTCACATAGGTGTCAAGTCACAAGGGTCGGCTGAGAAAGCCCACGTGACAACTATTTTCATAACGTCCACGGTTCCTAAAAAATCCACTGAGTGATAAATAACAATGATCAATCAATCAACATATTATCAGTTAACCCTTTGAACAAAGTATGTTGTTTTTACATGGGCACTTCACGCCATGATATGAGTGTATTCCCTTTGATTAGTAAACCTAGACATGTAAACACTCAATTTTGACATATCCACTGTGCAAGATAACAGTAATTAATCAATCAACGTATTCTCTGTTAATCCTTTGATGACCAGGAACGATCCGTTGATTTACAAAAAAAAAGTAAATCAACTGATCATTCATCTCTTGCTGGGCTGCCACGTGCATATTACATAACACACATTTCACCTCACTTCATCCTGGATTTAGATTGAATAATTACCCCAGACACAATAAATGCCAAATGGGAACCTTTGTCAGGTAATCTAAGTGGTGCTACCACTAATTGTACCTGTAATAAATTCATTAACTGAGCATCAAGTGAATGACGACAAATACACAAGTGTAGGGTTATACGAGAAAACGTGGATGACAACAAGGGAGTAGTAATCGTATTATCGACGCAATCCGAAATCAGAAAATGCTTTCACTGCATGGATACTTTTTTTAGTGTTAAACTATAACCATCTTGGTTATTTCCAAATGACGACATCCGATGAGCTCCGCCGTTCTTTTTTGTCTGTTTGTTTTGGCTGAAGAAATGAATTAACATGCGCCCTTTGTCGAAATCTTTATAGATCACAGTTAACCAATCAGTGTTTATGCAAAAATGCGTAAAACAAATATTGCCTCCAGCCTCCAAGTTTATTTAACTGTCCTTGCAGACGGTAGCCCAGTCTCTGGTCACGCTCAGTTGCGTTGCGTATCATCCGGGTACTCACGGGGGAAAAAACAATAACAAAGGCAACAACCAGTCCGGGGAATTGCGTTAGATCAGTGCCCCTTTAAAGAAGTTGTTATCCATAAAATTGTGTCTACCTTGACATCCGTCAACTTCTTAGTCCAATCAAACATTTAATGCACTGACAACAAAGGTTTTCATGTGAAATTTTTACAATATTCGTTAACATATGAATAAGAAAAGATATGCTATGTATCAATGGTGATAATCAGATGATAATCAAGTCAACACAGGGATCTTAATTACAGATATCAAGAATCTTGAATCAACCTGGCGAACTAATCATCGTCCCCCGCCTACCTCTTCATGTTTCTGTTGGATGAACGTCAATGGAGCTCTTCCGAACTCAAGCGCGCACCCAAGCCACGGCATCCACCCTTGATAAACCGGAGGTTGCTTCTCATAATTCCGTCGTGTAAAATACGTGACAACGACATATAACAGTACTGAAACTGGAACTGCCATTAACACTAAGGACAACACATTAAACTCTGCCATGTTGTGACCTTTGACCTCCTGTTGACATCTCGTATGGTTGTTTTGATCGAACGAGACAAAACGAGAACTGTCGGTTGCCTGCCGAAGCTATCGTTCAGCTGGTGCGAGTGATTATCTTAGAAACGAGAGATACTTTAGAAATCGGCGAAGATGTCACTGAAAACACTACCCCTGCTTTTCATCAATCTTGGTGGAGAGATGATGTATATATTAGATCAAAGACTGCGCGCTCAGAACATCCCAAGTGAAAAAGCAAAGAAAGGTGAGATACAGAAATTTGCTGAGCTGCGTGTCCAACGTTCGACCCGTGTTATCGTACTGTTTACATTACCCTGAATAACTGTCACTGATTTACAGTAGTTCATCGAACACTGTCATGCTGCAGGAAGGTTTGGGTGCCCGACACGAAGATTAGATAATATTTCACTGTCCTTGCATGTTAATAGAATGCTTCACATATATCTGGAAGTATGTCATAACATGCAACTTGCAGGAACGAGACTTCAGTTTCTTTCTATAGCCATGCTATTAGCCAGGGTACTGTGTGGACACAAGCAAAACAGAAAGTTGCTATTGATCTTTCAGATCCCATCTAGCTTACACTAGTGGTAGTACTTGTTGCCTTGTAAATAGAGTTTGTTCACAATGCCTATAAATAATCTGAGTTGTGTCCCTTAGGCATGTCAGGATCTGATATTTGTGGGTTTGTGGCCCTATTAGTCATGATGAATTAATTATGGTTCTCAGTTTGTCAGCATCATAGCCATAGCCCCACCACACACACCCCACCCTACCCCATCCCCTGGCTGCTTGTGAATTACATCATCACCATTTGCGCAATTAACTCTCCTTTGGCATAAAAAAAATACAGTGCATGTTAATCCATTAAAGGGGAAGTGTACACGAAAAAATCATTTTCTTTCTTATTTTAAACAAAACAGAATTTTAGAATTAGTTAGTATCAGTGTTTGAAAATATACACTCATTTTTCTCATAGTCAATGTAGCGAGCTCACAATAAGTGTGAAAATGTCATGCCGTTATGAGGCCTTCGTTTTCCGAGCTTAACAGGCCTGAGTTAACCCCCTTAGATTATGACGTAATTGGTGCCAATTTAACTGTGTCCCTGTCTTGTCACAACGCAAAAGATATCAAGTACCAGTTTATGGTGAGACAACATGGCATCCGATACCTTGCCTGGTCCGGAGAAGTTCCCTTGACCCTTCAAGAAATCGCAAAACCATACGATTTTGAACCAAAACGAGCAAGCTTCGCGGTATGGAAACGATGAAAATCAAGTGGAAACAAGAGAAGACCCACATCACCTAATTTGTCACCCGACCCGGACTCGACATCTACACAAGTAGGCCTACCAGTGACAACGTGGTAAGAATAACACTTTGATGTGTGTATACCTAAATTACCTATATGCTCATTATTACGTTTTCAGAAGCGGAAACGTAATATTCTAAGAGATTTTTGTCACGCCTGGTGACCCGCATGCTTCGTCAGCAGGCCTATTCATCCTGTCCCACCCTGTTACGACCCTATCGCCGGTATCGGCATCTGAGTTTGTCTGTATTAGGTGTAACTATTCCCACCACCTATAGGCCACAGATCAATTCTACTTGCCAATATCAAGAAACAAATACGATCTGTCGCCAAACGTTGTCTCAACAAGATTACACATTTGGCCTACCAGCTGATGACGAGACCATATGCTTAGAGTAACACGAAAATGGGGTACGTCCCAGTACGTTTCTAAAGTCGGTTGCCGAGTGGAAACGTACTGGGGAAAAAAAAGATTCTCTTTGATTTTTTCCCATCCGAGTTCAAAATACCTGCCATATTTATTGCTAAGTAATTGGATGTCGTACTTCACACTTCACACCGTCCCCATTTGAAAGTGAAAAGATAGATCACTCAATTGATTTGTTTAGTGTTTGAAACCAGTTACTGCAGTAGGCCTACAGTGTCTTATTCTATTTAATAGATAATTGGTTATTGGTTTGTTCTGACAACCATTCATAGAAAATGCATTGCAACTTTGCAGGGAAACTATTTATCATCTATTATGGGGCCAGATTTTTAAAAAAAATGTTTAGAAACTATAAAAAAGAAGAAATATCTAATATATAATTAATTATTAAAAACAGTGGGTTGTTTAACTGAGTGGACCAGATATATGTAAAATGTTTACAAAAAGCTCATTTACCGTCACAATCAATACATATAAATTATCTAAGAAACTATAAGTAAAACTTGTTGAATATTAGTGAAAAATATTTGAAATTGTAAATCTTTGTTTGGAAATTTTGACCTCCCAACCTGACCTTTTGAGCAAAACGTCTGTAACAACCACCCCCTAAAATGCAAATGAAATATGCAATCATTTTTTTATATGAGTGAGTGAGTAGGGTTTTACCCCGCTTTTAGCAATATTCCAGCAATATCACAACTGGGGGACACCAGAAAAGGGCTTCACATGTTGTGCCCATGTGGGGAATCGAACTTGGGTCTTCAGTGTGACGATCGAACGAACGCTTTCACCACAAGGCTACCCCACCACCCTTTTTTATATTAACACTTGAAATAAAGTTTAGAAAACATATAATATGATTTACTTTCATCAATTTATTTTATTATGCATTTTAAGATCTATCATGCACAACAAAAAAATCTGACAAGTAAAATAAGAGATTCAAGTACCATAAATGTTTATTTGACAAGTTGTGAAAGCATATGTAACTTGTAAGGTTATTAAATTACATCAGTGATATTGAAACATGCCCACAATATTTCAAGAAGTATTCAAACCTACAGTAATAAACACATCATGTCAACATGATAGAACTATAAACTGTTTTGGTATTTATTGAATTATTAACATGTAATAAAAATTATGCATATATCATCAATACAAGTTACTTCTTATATAAGCATCCCTCCAGATTTAATGACAAAAATATATATGTAAATGGTGTGATATTTTTTTGTAATGTTGTGCATAGCTTGACTTAAAAAAAACACTTTTTCATTTCAGAATCTATCTACACCTCATAAACAAGAGGTTCACTTTGGAGATTTGCAGAAATAGTTGAAGAATCAGAGAAAAGTTATTCCATCTTGTGTTGTCGAGATGATTCATGAAAGATTTCCATCTGATGTATGTAATGTTTTTCTCTATGCTCATTAAAATAAACTTTTTTCATTGAAATCTTGTTTTATGGTCTCTGACAACAATCAGCCTTTGCTGTTTCATTTGACAAGTTTCGGTAATACAGGATGGCTGATGCTGGATCAGGTAGTTTTGGGCAAGGGCGAAGGCCGGGTAAAAGAGTGAAGAAAATATCACAAGCACTGGCTAAATGCTCAGAGGCAACTTGTTAGTGCACTGGTTGACTATTTCAAAAGTACAAATGTGTGAAGCCCATTTCTGGTGTCCCCCACCGTGATATTGCTGGAATATTGCTAAAAGCGGCGTAAAACCATACTCACTCCCTCACTCACTCAAAAGTACAGCTCTCTTGTTGTCTAAAGCACTGTACCTCACAAGACACTCTAATATTTTATGACTTGTAACTCTGCACAATTTGCACACAATGAAAATGGATCTCAACACCAGGGATTTCTTGTGACACCGTTGGGGCAGGATACTCTCACCTTTCGCGAACACCTGGTATTATCACTATTTGATAGCGATTCATTAACACGTGCTCATGATTTATTCAGAATCGAACCATCAACTGTTTTTTACAGAGATTTCATATGAATATGGAAAGGGTTTTGTCGCATTTATACTCTTCCATATCATTGTGGGACCTGAAAAATATAAAAATAATTTTAACATAGATTTGTCAAAATAATATGTACACTGACTAAATAATTGTAAAAGAAGATGGTAATAATCTTCAGCAGTGTCAGGCATGTCACTCGGTGCCTGAATTCAAATATCATCAGTTAACTGTGTACAAATTGTATCAGATCTAAACTTTTATATGTCATTCACAGTATACGTTCATTTGTCATCCACACTACACTTTTACAACAAAAGACAACAATATAGAATATAATAGATACACAAAATAGTTCAATACAGAAATTATTTGCATATAGTATTTACATAGTGTGATTATTCATTGTAAAAATATTATTTTGTACCTCATACTGTGAAGCACGGTGTGCCATGCTTCTGGTGTACATTGGACAGCGACTTTACACCATGATGGACTGGGGACCTGTTCTTTCTGGGCATCGGTGTCTGGCATGACTTCATATTTGAAAGATACAACATAGAAACATTAACACTTTTGTCATCCATATCTCACTATCACAAAATACAAAATGGTAACTTGATTTTTTTCATGTATAAATGTGCTATAAATTGTATATGTGTGTAAATTGCAACATGAAATTTGAATATTTTGGGTGGTGGGTGGGCGATGATTTTGGATAGTGACTGGATATTTTGTCAGCTACAAACCAGCAAAACCAGATATTTTTTTGAATAAAAAATATATAAAGCCTAAATATAAAAAAATAAACATGTTGCAACAATGTATTTTTGCGGATTTTTGCTTCAACAGTCTGAATCAAAATTATTGTACATGATTATTTAAAGATTAGGTACACACACAAACACACACACACAGAATTTCAATGAGTTTATATAATTTATAATTTGTTTTCCTGTGTTTTTATAAAGTTTATTAATTACCGAAATGAGATGATTTGTGTTAATTCCAGACGGGAATGGCTGTAAAACTAAAACATTACGTAACACAACTTACTCCATCAACAGGAGTTTGCTGCATACTGCAACGATCAGCTGATCAGGAGTATCGACATAACCATGCAGGAAGTGAACATGTAAACGAGACAACATCGCGGATGTTCATGATTATCAAGTGAAACTATCTACAAATATCACCCTACCCCTGCTAAAATACATTTCTTAAATACTACTGTGGTTAGAATAAACTAAAACAGCAAACTTACCTGATCGAGTTACTTCAACTTTACGGCGTTTGTTTACAAAAACATCCCAGTCAGGGACTTGATGAGAGTGCTGTCCCTTTAGCCCGTTTCCATATAAGGATCGTACACCATCCGCTTCCGATCAGTTTCAGCTCAGAACCATATGTAACTAATAATAGTAACAAAAACGGCCATCGGCCTCGTCTATAATTTTTGGGCAAGTTTTTTTTATTGTTATTATTAGTTACATATGGTCCTGTGGTTTCAGAACCAGCAGGTATCTAAA